GAGAGAGAGAGAGAGTTCTGATCAAATGAATTCTCTATGCTTCCTTTTGAAAGAAAGATTTCCTCCTAATTGTGCTTCGGATATATCTCTGGTTTTCCCTACGCCATCAATACTCTGCAGAATTAAGAAATTAATTGAATTTAGTGCATTAGACAGCAGAATTAAGAAATTAATTGAATTTAGTGCATTAGACAGCAGATTTCATTGAATTTAGTTCATTGTCCTTAATATTCAAAGCCTCATATGATGATGTTATGCAGGTCAGTCTCCTCAGAAGTGACCAGTGATTTAGTTATACAAGTTAGAACCAGCAGATACCTGCTACACAAGGTAACTCAAGTCTGGCTCTTTCACTCTCTTTCTTTTCCCAATTAAGTACAAGCCATAAATTTTTTCTCTCTCTTGTTATTAGTTCTTACCATCCCCTTATATTCTATGATAGAAAATCATGTTTTCACTGCTTTCTTTCTCTGCATTTTTGTTACCATCTCTGGTTATTTATGAGAGAAAACCTGGTTTTTCTCTCGTGTCTTCTTGCTACCATCCCCTGTTATTTTATGAGAGAATTCAATTTCTCTCTTGATATTTCATGATACAAGTCCCCATGTTCTTGCTGGCCCATGTCAGCCTAAGGCAACTATCACTCATTAAAGCAAATTAGAAACACATCTAACCGATAACACTAAAAAAAAAAGAAGAACTTTTCTAATCCATGTTCTCTGTCTTATAATCTCACAGTTCCCCCTTCTCTCTAAATGCGGTCGCCTTCAAAAGTTCTGCATTGATCAAGATACCACTCAAGACCCGATTGAGCTCCCTGACTTCCCTGGAGGGGCAGAGGCATTCGAACTATGTGCAAAATTTTGTTATGGAATCATCATTACTCTCAGTGCTCTTAACATAGTTGCAGTGAGATGTGGAGCTGAATACCTCGAAATGACAGAGTCGATAGAAAAGGGGAACCTCATATACAAGCTTGATGTTTTCCTCAATTCTTGTGTTCTTCGCGGTTGGAAAGACTCCATTATTGTTTTATCAAGAACCAAAGGCTTTCCTCACTGGTGTGAAAGTCTCAAGATCACCAGTCGATGCATTGACTCCATTGCTTCAAGGGTTTTAATGAACCCATTAAAGATTAATTGGTCTTTTAGTCATTCTAAAGGGAGAGAAGATATCCATGAAAGAGAAATTAATGGAACGGAGAGCAGGCGCCATAGGCCCAATTCAAAAGGTTGGTGGGCTGAGGATTTGTCAGAATTAAGCATAGATTTGTATTGGAGGATCATGGTAGCCATTAAATCTGGTAACAAGGTCCCCCAGGAGCTTATAGGTGAGGCTTTGCAAGTTTATGCTTATAGATGGCTTCCTGGTTTCTCTAAGGAAAAACCCATATCAGAAAAAAGCCCTGAAACTCTAAATGGTGGAGATATTACATCGAAACATAGGCTACTCTTGGAAACTATAGTGAGCTTGCTTCCTATAGAGAGAGGTTCTATTTCTTGCAGTTTCTTACTCAAGCTTATAAAGGCAGCAAACATACTCTCTGTGTCTCAGTCTACCAAGATGGAGCTGGCTAGGAGAGTCGGGCTTCAGCTTGAGGAGGCCTCGGTTAGTGATTTGCTTATTCCCTCTCTTTCCCACTCTAATGAGATGCTTTATGATGTTGAGATGGTTCAAAGGATAGTGGAGAATTTCATGTTGCAAGCTCAAAGCCCACCTGTTAGTCCTCCAAGAACAAGGCGTGAATTTTATGAGAAGAGAAGGTCAAGATCAGCTGAGGACTTGGATTTTCAGGAGAGTAGGAGAGCTTCTTCGGCCTCTCATGGTTCGAAGCTAAGGGTGGCAAAGCTTATTGATTTGTATCTGCAGGAGATTGCAAGAGATATAAACTTGCCATTAGAGAAGGTGATTGAACTTGCAGAGGCAGTGCCCGACTTTGCTAGGCCAGAGCATGACGATCTCTACAAAGCTGTTGATATATATCTGAAGGTGAGATGCTCTCTCTCTCTCTCT